AAATGATTTATGATTATGACAAAGGAATAGACAAATCATTTAAATGGTCAAATGACCAGGTCATTTCCGAACACTGATTAAATCAATATAATCTTTTATAAAAATCTGAAAAGAACAATAGTAAATTAGCCTTCATACTAAAAGATGAATCTTCAATTTCATATAAATTTATAAATATTTAAATGATCACACTTGTCACCCTCACTTATAGTATAGTGTAATATTAGTAGGTAAAATATAATAGTTAGTGTAAGTTAAGGTTTGTTTATAAAAAATTATTAGCCATATATAATCATATGAATTGATCTTTTTTATTAGAGGAGTTTTTAGTATACTGAATAATAAATTAAGATTGGGTGAGGTCAGTATTTACTTGACATTATTACACATATTCATTAATAAAATTCACTATACAGTAAACTCTTGATATAACGAATTCTAAGATCTGGATATCAACTTCGTTATAAACTTATAATGAATTTTTAAAGAATTTAATTGGCTAGTTCATTATAGTAAGGTAATTTTAATATATTTAATTTAAAAATTCGTTATATCAAGAGTTCACTATATCAAGGTTTGACTATATATGATTGAGAAATATAATCATTTTGTTTACATGATTCCGTTTCTACTACTCATATAACAAATAAATATATTTTGAAATTTTTGTTTCTGAAATAATTTCCTAAACTAATCTGGTTAAATTGAGAATAATAAAAATAATTCTTCTTTTACTACTATTATACGCAGTTCTTCATAAGGTTTATAATTTTTAAATTGATACTTAGCAAATATTAATTGTTAACTTAATAATGTTGTTAGTATTAGTCTAATTATGACACATTAATATTGTATCAATTATAATTAGCAAATAATGATCCTGACGATCATGAATCTTTACTTTCTCTAATTTCTCTAATTTCTATAATTTCTCTAATAAATTAATAACATTTATCTTTAAAACTTATCTTTGCTCGTTAAACAATTTATTCTTCTTTAAATCTATATCAATAAAGACAATCTGATACTTCAATTAATAATTTGTGTTTATTTCTCCAAAGCTTAAATATACTTAAACTTCATTCTAACAAATAATTTTTGTTAGCTTAATGATAAACAGTTTAAGCTTAATAATATACAATTAAAATTAACAGTGTCAATTCATCTATTATGTCAAATTTAAATCAAATACTTAGATATTTAATTAATTAATATGAAATTATTGTAAATGTTTATATTATGATGAATGTGTATGCTATATTATAAAACATAAAGTTAAAGTATTGTAAAGTATATAATCAAAAATAATGAAAGTGATATAGTAGGTAAAATTATCAACAAGAGAATTGAGAAAATTATAAATTTTTTTAGTTTATATAAATTATATTAGTTTATTAATATAAATAATTTTTTCAATAAGTAAAATACCAAAAGAATATTATTGTAAGTGGTCAAAAATGTATATCTTAAAAATATTACAATAATTCATTTCGTAAGCTAACAAAGCATTGAGTACCATTTTTTATATATAATACCACTACTTTTTTTATATCAACCAATAGGTTACATTGCAAGATTGATTATATACAGGTCTGATATATTCCCTTGTTATTATAAAATTAAATTAAAGAATTCAAATAAAACTATAAATCTAGTAAAAAAAGTATATCAAAATACTTACTATTTCTTTTTAAAAATAACATTTCTTTTACTAAATCTGAAGATAAATGTGTTAGTTTAGCAAAAATATAATTATTGCATCTAAGAATAATCATTCACTTGGAACTGCAGTTATAGTAATAGATAAATATTTTTTTGCAATTTATGCTAAATATAATAAAATAGTCTTATTAACTAACCATTATTTTAATGGATCATCTGTTAATCCAACTTTTTTTTTGTTATAAATAAAGTTTAACTTTATTATCATCATTTTTGATTTTATTTACATTACTTTCTAAGACTTTAAAAATATTATTTTCATTATCTGAAAAGATAGATTGCTAATAATCCTTTCATTATGTGAAAGATCATTTTTTGCAATATTATATTAGTTTTAAACTAATATTTTAGCTTCATTTTTATTATAACTATTATATTATTCAAAGTTTTTAAATCGAGAATTTAAAAATGATGCAATAAGTATAATATTAGATAAAACTAACTAAAGTTCATCTAAGGATAAAAAAATAGCAATAGAAGTTGAAACTGGTTAATTTTTAACTAGTTAATTAACTGATTAAAATATTTATCTTGTTAACTAGGTAAGTTTTTTTTTAATTAGTTAAAATTTCTGATGTTTAATTTTATCTAAAATTTAATTTTCAGGTAGAATTAAAATTTTACTAGTTTTGCTTAAATTTATAATATCGGTTTGAGTTAAATTTAACTAATTAATTAACCAGTTAAAGAATTTTTTAACTGATTATTAACTGATTAAGAATTTTTAGTCTAATTCTAACTTTAGATAACAATGCAAACTTTTTGTTATAAAAAATTTAATATTTACCAGTTATAAATATTCTATCTTATTTATATTATTCAAATTTAATTCAGTTGAATAAATTGTTTGAGTTCTTTCCCTTCTATAACTTTAATCTCAATTTGCCTATTTCTATAGTATTAATGATATACATAATGTTAATTTTGTCTTATTCTACTAGAAGGAATATATGAGAACTTGTCTATAGAAAGGAGAGAAATCTAAAAAAAAGTTTTTATAAGTTAAAGTTAAATTTGGATTTATTTTTACTAAAAAAATCATATGAAGTAAAATTTTAATTTTTTTTAGATTTCCTTCTTTCTATTGACAAGCTCTCATATTTATTATCACCTATAATATCAGAAACCTTAGCAATATCATTAATATTAGAATCATATACCAAATTAATATAATTATCAAAACTTTTATCTTTTTCTTCATTTAGAGCAAAAGATTTTTTAAGTAAATACATATAAAAGATAATAAAACTTAAAGTTATATATATAGTTTTACGAGTTATAATTTCAAGTAATTCTAATAAATAATCATTATTAAAGATAACTATATAAAAAAAATAAATATTAGGATTTTAAAGTTTATATTAAATTTAAATATTATAGAAAATAAAAAAATAAATTAATTTTTATCTTTTTTTTATATAAACTTAAACTAATTTTCATCTTCTCTTTGAGAACTTGATCAGCTTTTGAAAGTAATTCTGTAAATACAATTCTTATAGAATTTTGTAATTCTAAACTCTTTTCATTCATGATATATAGAATTTCATTTAGTTTTAAATCAGTCAAAACATTAAGAGGATTTACATTTTCACCTTTAATTAATTGACTATTTGTTTGAGCTATTCAAAGCCTTTCTGCTTGCTTTAGTAGGTGAAAGAAAACTTATAAGCTTCTTAGTTTCAGTTAAAAGCTTTTTTATTTTTGGCAACGTAGCTGAATATATGATTTTTTCAAAAAAAAAATAATAAGCAATATATTTTCTTAATTTTTTTTTGTTTTATAAAGGGAAATAAATTTTAATAGTTGAAAACTTAAGTGATATTTATATTAGACATCATTTATTAGTGAAGACTGAAAGAACTAATGGTAAATCTACCATTTGAAAAATTATAAAAAGTCGTTGGAACATTACTTTTTTTTCGATGTAGTACTGTTATAAGTTTATTAAATTTTTATATTGTATTACAAAATATACAGCAATTAAAAATAAAGTAAAGCTAAAAAGGCTAAACTATGACTATCTCACGTGACTCTATTATTAAAAAATAGCTCAAACCCGTTAATACCCGGAATTCCAAATGTTGGAACTAGGGGATTCGGAAAAGTTGATAGGTTGTAGGGATTGTGACCGGATGATCAGTTGAAAATTTTTTTTGTTTGTAATGTATTTCAAAAATTAATCGAAAGTTAGGTGTTTGAACTGTTAAGTATTTTTTTTTTTAAATCATTTTCATGACTCCACAAGATAGGTGGTTCAAATGCAAATAACCTATTCATATTTCTCCTCTACTTCCTTGATTATGAAGTGTCGCTAATCTGATCCCATTCAAGTCTACAATGAATTACATAATTTAGTACTTGAATTATCAAACTAGGGTTAATGGCAAAGATTTACAAGTAATAAATATGGTGTATGTGGCAAAATTGAAACACTCATGGTAGATTAAAAAAAAATAATAGTATTTTTTGAATTTTATAAAAAAATTTTGATATCCGTTTCAAATAGTGACAAAGCAAAAATTAATATATTAATATTATGTGTAGTTAAGAATTTCGTATGAATATCTTCAGAAAATGCGAAGATTACTTTTTTTAGAGTCAGTCCTTGTGAAAATTAAAGCATGCAAAATATGTTGACACCAGATTTATAAACGTACACTCTGTCCCAATCCCAAAATTCTCTATAAATGCCAACTTCCACCTTTGCTCTGTATAGCGTATTTATATCATAACTATTTTTAGATAATTATTTATTACAAATCTCTCTAATAAATGATGCGGAGACGCTATTTCCTAATTAATGACTAAATCGTGACAGAACCAAATTTTTGATGCATAAAAAAATTTTTACATCATGTTACACGGCATTTGGAGGCTTTGTTGTCAGATTAATTATGTCGAGCAAATATTATGCACAAACAATTTGTACATTGTACCATATTATGAGCATATGTTTATATCAACAAAGAGGTTTCAAAACAAAAGTGCGCGATAGCTTTGAGTAAAATAATAAGGTTGAGTATGCATGAAAATCATCATAGTTACACACGTACATCTCCGGTCCTAATAAAGACTCTCATAATAAATAATGCTTGAAGCGTAAAGCTTGGAGATTTGGTCATTGAGAAGATTGTAGACCATTATATTATAGGCTAAAAATTTCTTAATATTTCGGCTAGAATGAAAATTTTTAAAATTACAAAGATTTCGTGGCTCTGGCCAAATTTATAGTGCCTGCTAAGCTAAATTTTAGCGGGAAAATTAGCCGGCTAACTAAACATTCTAATAAGGGTTAAGGGTTTGTTGACTTGCTCCAACCTTAGATATTTTATCTTCTAGGTTTCGAAAAATACCGCCGAAACTATATTAAAAAAAAACGAGAGTCAGTTGTCGAAACTTAAGGCTTCGAGTTTGCCATTTGCTTAAATGAGTCTTGTCTTCCTCGCAACTTATATAACTCGGATAATATTGTCGTTTCTAATTTTTGTTGAATCCATATAATACTTCTTTAGTTTGAGAGATTGGTCTGAATTAAATGTGAGATTAAAGAATGGGGACTATGAAATAGGAATATTAGCGTCTGAGACATTTCCGTATTAAAAAATTAAAAAAAGGTGAAAAAAATTTATGAACTTATTAAAAATAATTAAAAACTTAAAAATTATAAGCAAATAAGATGGTATTGCTAACCTTTAAATTGACCTAATTGTCAAAAATAAATTTTTATCCTAACGAGAAAGATTCGTTTGTTTTAAATTAGCGACATTTGTTAATTCACAAAGTCATCGAATACGTCTGTTTCATTTAAATATTTTTTATTGGATAAGGGTATAAAAAAATTTGACATATTCAGTTTATTTGTTGATATATACAGAAACCTAATTTAAATATTTCTTTAAATAATTATGACTATTTGAAAGAAAGTTTATTTTAATCAAATAATTAAATGATTTTGAAAATCAAAGGTCCAAAATTTCATATGGTCGATCAACGTACTAAATTAGTCTATATTGCCGATTTCGATTTCGATTTAGGAAATAAATTTATGCTTGTACTTGTTACTAAGCAGTTTCTATAGTGATAAAGAAGGAACTTGTATTTAATGTATTTTTTTTTTTTATAAAAAAAGTCAATTATTGTTGTTTTTAAACAATTTGTTTGAACTTTTTAATCGAGAAATATTTATTTATATTTTTGATTGTTTTTGGTTAATTGAATGGCGCACCACCAAAGAATTGATTGATATAAGAGTTGTCAGTTTCTGGTTGAGATGGTAGATTTATGATTCGTACCAATATCTCAGTGTTGATGAATCTGATGAACCTGTTCCTTCTATATCTAATTTGACGTTGAATTCTTCTTTGACGAATCATTATTCAATTTTATTATTCTTTGAATATTATATTGTTTTTAATGATTATTATTGAAAAAAATTTTTTTTTCCAAGAACAAGAAATGAAAACAACATCTTTTATACGTAAATGACATGAATCGGCAACGGGAAAACGGCAAATTTATTCGCTAGAAATAGAAATATCATATTAGATTCCGAATAGATCAATTTTATGAATAAAGTTTAAAATCGCTTATTCATTGCATCAATATTTACTACAATTTACAAGCAAAGTAATTGCACTATACCATTTTTAAGGTGTGTAACAAATTTCGAGATTTCCAGAAGCTATAACCGCTTGTCATTATGTAAGGTGACTCATATTACGTCCATTATCCAAAGTCAGTTAGCTAAATTTCGACCAAAATCTAGGTAATCTCGAAAATTTTGCTAAATAAATCACAGATTAGTCGAACATTAGGTTACTAGACATTTTAGAAGTGAAAATGAAGAATAAAGAATGCAAAGAATATCAGAAAGGTTTGCTGTAAAACACTTAGAAAAAATTATAAATAACGTAGAATAGGAAGAAATGAATTATAGAGGAATTAAAAATGGTTCATATAAAGCAGAAAAAGGAGGAACAGAAAAAAAAAGTAATGGATATTTTAAATCGCGAAGGTTTATATTATGTTTGCTATTTGGTAGTTGGGCTGGTTACAGTATATTATCTGATCTGATAATCTTATTAGATTAGATTTCATGTGTGTTTCTTTTTTATATTATTGATAAAAACTAAAAAAAAAATAACTATATGAAAATGTTAAAAATATATTGACGCCTTTTGGTAAAATTTTATCGTCAATCATTCCATATTTGGAAGTTAATATCATTCATTGGTAACAAACAATTTAGTAAATCAAAAGGCTATTTTGGAAATATGAAAATCGCAATATTCATTTAATGAAATAATTTATATTTTTTTTTTAAAAAAAAATAAGAACCTTTTTTAAATAATCAATAAATTTCACCACTTTTACGATAATAAAATATAAAATTGATAGATCAGGTTAATTACTAACATTAATCTATTATGATTGATAGTAAAGAGTGAGATTTTACGCCGATGATAAAAGAAAGTATTCGATTATTGTTTTATTGTTGATTACAGTTATGTACTAATCTGTTACATTCATAATTTTCTTTATTTACTATCGCTATATGTGTTATTGTTTTACTATAAATAAAATACGCCCATCAAGAAAGATATTTGTACACAAGAATTTGTAAATTACGTACAACATAATACGACACTTTTAGGTCTGTGTGAAAGACTTCATCGTATGGAAAACAAAAAACTAAAGATCTTAATCTCGTTTCATATTTATCAAAATTTCCGAGATCTTAATAATCTTGATTATATTAATACAAATTCTGAAATTCCGAGTGGAGTATAGTTGATCAAGATATATCTGATCAAAAAAAAAATCTATGTAAGCAGAATGCCTTTTATACATTAGATTAGATTTTATATTTTTGATTATAAATTAGTGTTACTATGTTACTTACAATCAGTAACTTCAAAAAAAAAATTTACTTGTATAACAAACACGATCACGTATTTTAAAACTTGATTTAAAGAATCCAACGAGGCATGCTAACTCAAAGTATATGCTGTAACAGAAAAATGTAACATATCACCGAATACCGCATTAAAATTTGATCCATTTTAACTATCTTGATATGAAAGTAATCCGGAGGTGTATATTCGATAATTTGTAGAACGCGTACAAACAAAAGAATTAATAATACCAAAAAGAAATGCTTTTTAAGATCTGTTATTTAAAAAAAAATTACATAAAAATTCACGGTAACATTTTTTTTTGCATTATTTTTCAAAACGATAAGTTTAAATACAATCTGACAATGGTAGAGCGATACTTATGTCGGCATCAATTATTGAATTATTCATACGAGCTATTTATTTCTATGCAATCAAATTTATTTAATTAGCATTTAAAAGATCCTTGATATTCGATGTCTTTTTGAGCGGATATTTATTTCCGAAACATTTGTGGAACGAGAACAGAAAAAAGGAATTGATTATACATAAGAAAAATTCCATTTTTAAGTTTATTTAAAAATGTGAGCATCAGGTTTTTTGTATTACAAACACGACTCTGTGTGTAATGTTGATGTTTCGCTGTGCTGATGTTCTGAATAAAGTTTAATTAGCAAGTGATCATACACAAAAATGAAGATGCAGATTTATTTATCTGTGAAATTTTTATTTTATAAAAATAGTTTTGAAATTGATCATAATACTGCGCCACAAATAAATTTCTAAATTTTCATAATTAATGAGATATATTTCGATTATATATTAGATATTTTTATAAATAAACCTGGAATTTTGATAAAATAAGTTCTGATGGAATAACCTTTCGGGATATTAATTAAAAGTTGTTAAGTGTACTTCACATAATTTGACTGTGGAATTAACTATATAAGTGAATATTCAACATTTAGTAAATCTCGTTCTCAAGAATTACTCCAGATTAAGTTGTTGTTAATTGAGTTGAAAGGTACTTCGGTCCAAGACCTTAAAGATTCATTTAAGAGAAGCGAGAAAAATTTAAAAAGATAATTTAGTTAGTTAGTTGTACAAGATGATCATCACCATATGAATAACCATTAACGGTCGTAGAAAATTTCAGTCCTCTCCCGATATTTTCTATATATGCATATTTTTATATATTTATACTTTGTAATCAAACCAGCGAGAACCTACGCATTTTATTTTGACGACTTAGCAATTAAAGAAGTCTAATTTGAAAGAAATTGTTTAAGTTCAGAGGTGTATGTAACAAAGGGGACCATTGGCTCAATTTTTGAGCGGCCGACACATGACATTTTGTGTCACTTTCGGAGAGACATCTTCCGTACTAATTTCACTGCGTTACGACGCTAACCGTAAACAATTAGCGGTGTCAAATTCAGAAGTCTTGAAACGTTAAAAAAAGTGAGTAATAATATAAACTTAGGAAATTTGCCGAGCTTATTTGGCAGCAATATACTCAAAATAACATATAATGAGGGTTGATTTAATGAAAACTACATAGAAATCTCTTGTATTTTTATTTAACATTAATAATTTACATTTATACTTTTCAACTTTACGATATATGTACCAAATTGCAAAGGTTTTTAGCCTTAAAAATCATACATTGATTTCACATTCCTTAAATGCATAATATAATAAGGAAAATTAGTGAAATGAGGACAACAGTCTGTACTCTTGGCGCAGCAATGATTTATAATGAGATAGTCCTAACCATTTGAAAAAGTCGTTCGGCAAAAAGTGCTATTGCTGTAGTACAAGATTTACAAAGTTTACATATTCAGGGACAGCTATTGAAAAACTGAATGTCTTTTAATATCATTATTTCAATTTGATATTGACAATTACAAGAGAACAATAGTTAATTTATTTGATTGTTTATTAGATCCATAGTTAATTTGAAACTCCTTCAAGTTGTGTAGATAAACTAAGAAGCAAATTTGGTTAAATTAAAAATGATAAAATAAAATGACGGGAGAATAATTTTGATGAAAGAAAAATGGAAACTTTCTATAAAAGAGAAAGTTAAATTTTTTTATGAAAGAAAAAGGAAATATATGAAAGATATAATGGGTGAAGATTTCCAGGATAGATTTCCGGTTTATCCCGTTTAAAAGGTATTTGATTAAATTGAAAGCGTTGGGACAAATTTGACTAACCAAATCTATTTATTTTATTTGCTATGAAGATAATCTATTTTTAATTTCAGAACAAGCGTATTATCCATTATCTATGACTCCATAATGTTACATCTAAATAAAAGATTTCGATGAATCGGTGCTAGCGCTACAAGAGTATATTAATAATCAAATCGTTCGATCGTGTTCTACTAGTTTCGGGGCCATTTCTGTTTAGTTTAATTTTAAGTTTTGTTAGTATTTAGTTAGACTTTTCGTAGATCAATGGCTAATTGTCCCTGGCCAAAATTGTATACCGGCCAATTGTCTCCTGGCAATATGCCATCCGGCCATTATGTTTCGAGGACAAAAAGGCCTCTGAACAATTAGTCCTTGCTTTGTTTTAAGTATAAAAGAAGCAGGATTCCGCTTGAGTAGAAAACAAGTGTTCTATACGTTCCCTACATAATTCAATAGATAGTATTAGTATAGCATTGACTCCTTTTCCTTTATTTGTAACGAATAACGAAAGTATATAATAAATTACGTATCTGATCGTATAGAGCGCCGACGATTGAGGCCATACCTTATTTACCTTATTTACGTAGATTTATGTTAGATTTCATTTGTTATTAATAAATGCATTTAAAAACATTCAATAATAAACCTTCTGCTTACCTTTTCTATTGTTTATAACCAATAAACGTCACGAACTGCATGCAACACTAGAAATTCAGCGTAGTATTTATGATTATTTGGATTTAAATGGAAGAAACAATGATGTAAACATAAACATTCGATTATAAATATTACTGAACAAAATATCAAACGATTATTTTTTTTTGTAAATTATTTTCCCAGGAAAAGTTTATTAATGTTCCGAAATTAATATAGTTCGGACTAGGATAAGTTGTAGGCCAATTTATCCCTAAAACCAAAGATGTACTCGAAGTCGTTCATTTCATGTTAATGTCCCAAAGAAATCATAAAGATCAAATAATCCGAATCGGAGACTTTCTTGTTTTTGTAGTGTTCATACTTATTTAATAATTATTTCGAATATACATAATTTTTAATGATAAAATAAATTCTCCATTCATATTAAAAGAAAACTTAGAAATTATTTCTCAACATAATAACTTATTCTATGACAAATAAATTGAATAAATTCCATGATAATTACATTCTTATACATTTATAGACATAATCATAATTTTTAGAATTATAAATAACGTAAATAACGGGAAAATAATATTGACAAATCGATATTATTCTATGTTAAAAAGAGTGTAGTGAATTGATATTAATATGCGTTAAAATACTGAAAATACATATTTCTGTCCTGTCTAATTTACTAGAATTGTCACTTTTATCATTTAATATAATTACCAAAAAAAAAGAAAGAAAAAATTCAAAACTCAAGGCCATTATAAAATTCGTCTAACGAAGGGTTTCCCGTTGATTGTGGAGAAAGGCGTGTTATAATATTAATCATGATTTCATTATCAATTCGTCGTGTGCGTGGTATCGCGTTTGAAATATGACCGGACTGCGCATTTTGATTATTACTAGTTGGCGGGATTGAATTATTACCGGGTTGTGTGTGTGGGTTATTATTTATTGGATGAGTGTTCGAATTGTTACCGGAAAGCGTGTTGGTGTTAAGTTGCGAATTCGAATTGTTATAGAGTAGTGAAATTCCAGATAGCGGTAGCATGTTTTGAAAATTACCAAATAGCGGGATATTACCAGGTGACGTGTTACCCGGTAGTATGATTGGAATAATACCGGGTGGCGAATTGTTTCCCGGTATTGTGTTTGGATTATTACATTCTTGCGTGTTCGTATCGTTAACGTTCGAATTGTCGTCGGCTGGATTATTGACAAGTGTGTTTAAGTCGTTAATAGATAACATTGTTAAAACAATTGGATTTTAAGTGAACTATTTCTTCGTTTCGAATTTGGTCTCCTTTTCTTAAATCTATTTGTTCTTGTTATCTTTTCACCATTCGCTTACCGTGGCCAGGAAATATCGTAAATAAGAGGTAATTCTTCAAGTATTTATATACTTTATACATGAGAATTACCGACTATATACGGATAGATTATTTTTTTTTGGTTTCTCTTTGTAATATACGGAATAAAAGAAGATAACAGTCAAATGATACCTGCGCATAATCGATGTACATAATTTACGCTATCTCAGTTCTGAAGTTGAACGACTAGATAACTAATTGGTTATATATACTGCATATATATATTATATGTATTGTCATTTGTACAGCTCGTGTCTCAATTACTATAATGGTGTAATCATGAGTTATCAGTCGATTAAACTAAGTCATATATATCTTCGATATCTTCGGGATGGTCCGCAATAATACTATTCACCAATTAGTAAATGTACTAACTAAGATCACGCAAGATGATTAAATTGATGTAATTTGTTTCATACCAGACACTGTACCGATTATTCGTATTCCTTATTTGCAAGTAGGAGTTTCCATCAAGAAAAACTGTTTAATCAAATTTTACTTAACCATATCTGGTCATTATCAAAGAGAAAAGGAAATTAAATTTTTACAATGCACTTTTATTTTTTATTTAATTTTAAATAAATAATTACTTACCGTTATTTGTCAAGTTATTATTTGATGAAGGAGCTTAATCTATTGAACTGCATTCATTTAATACCTTAAAACGGTCTTCACATATGAATTGTTAAAACATAAGTTGGACTCATTTTCGGTGAAATGTTTGATATATGCAGAGATAAATATCAATATTAACAAGAAAAATTATTTATTTCTCACATTATAAAATTTTTTTTTTTTTGATGAAAAAATTATTTTGGGATAATATATAATATAATTATATATAAAAAAATTCTTATTGTGAATATAGATTGGTTAGGATCGGGCTCTGGTCCTCTTAGGAAATCCTAACAAAGCCTTCCATGCATGCTTTCATTAATTACTTAATAAGGATATTCTACAAAGTCTCATTCAAAGATTACTTAACATGGGATAAATTGACGCGTTGATAATGATTTCATTCGTATGGTTGATTTAATTTTATTATATGTACTGTATAAATCATAATATTTTCTTTTAATAGATCCCACTTGATTTTTTATAGTTAGAACTGATTTTGAACGATAAAGGACGGATTTCATAGAGCAAATAAAATTCTGGATACAATGGAAAAAAAATCTAGCCCTTAATAGTCTAGCGATGGAAAAGATAAACAAGTAAACGAACTGAAAAATCGAAAAAAAAAGCACTTGTAATTCTACGATTTGAGCAGATCTTCCTCTCGACTCATTTTCTGTGCAATGTCCTTTTTTATATCCTTGGGAAACTTTGAATACAAGAAAACATAAAATAAAGAATTGTAATTGTAATTGATGAAATAAAGTAGGATTAAATATACATTTTATTCATTGTTATCACGTGATTCTTATTTAAAGAAATATTTTTACAATAACGTGTAACAGCATTAAAGAACGAATATCATCACGTGATCTGCAACTTGAAAATTTTAGTTTCACATGAACCAAAATCACCAGTCACATGTAGGCCGGATCGGTTTAGATTTCAACCGTTAACTTATTAAATATTTTTTTTTTTTTTAAAAAAAATAAAAAAATAAATTACAGAATAGAAAACTATCGTTCTTGTAATAGTAAACTGATATAGATTTATTATCGATTTATTATTTTGCAAAAAAAATAATTAACGAGATGATTTACAATGAGTTCCAATTTGTTTAAATAAAAAAACAATGCGTAACACAAAAAAGTGTACATTAGAAATTAACCTTCGTGCTTTATTATTACCCCACATTTAAAAAAAATCTCCGTTAAATTTTTTTTTTTACATACAAATTCAAAATGCAAGTTTTATCTTTTTTTAAATCTATAGTAAACAACGTAAACAACAACTATTTATGGTTAGTATCGATCATTATTCATATGCTGATAAAAAAAACTACTTCATCACAAGATAACAAATTCGCCGTAACAAAGATATTAATCTGGAAATTTTTTCGTTGTATCAAATTCGAAATGTGTCAAGTCAGATGAAATTACAAAACGATAATTAATTAAGAAAAACTTTTTTAATTATAATATTAATTTAAAGGATTTTTTAAAAATTGCTTGTATGTCAAATAGACAATTATATATAGTACATTTATTAATATTATTGATAATTAAATGTGATTTTTATTTAGAAAAAATTACTTACACACATCATTTAATTTATGAAGGAAAGTGCCAAAAAAAATATATGAACTTATTTTTATATGACAATTAAACACTTCACATTATAATAGATTCAGATTTAAAATTAACTCATTTTAATTATTACATGCAGTTTCTTATTATTCTACATTAATCGTTTATTTGATTCGAAAAACGTTTATATGATTTAAACTGTCGAGCAGAGGAGAAATTAATAACCCTTGTAAAAATTTTTACGTTAATCAAATAAAAAGTGAAAATTTTCGGCGGTAATCCTTAATTTTTGTATTTAAAGATTGACCTAAATTTTTTATTTAGGCCGAATGCTGACAGTAAATACAGTACATATATGTGTGGGATAATTTAAATCAAGAGAAGTTATATTTGTTCATCAAATAAAAGTTTTTAAGAGAAAAATTCTGGAAAGTGGCTTTGCGAGAAAAAAATTCTTTGCGTCTACTTATCTATTTCAATGAACCTCCTTATTAATCAATTGTTTCGTCATAATCACATTTCCCTTATATTTCCAATTGAATGGCGCAGTACATAACATTACAAATTCGTGGCACAACACCCGAAGTATCTCGTTTCAATTCATTGGACTTTAGGTCGTCTATTCCATTGAAAATAACAAAAATATCTAAATTTTAAAGGTTATAATAAACATTTACAGAACATTTAAATCCTTTTAACAAAAAAAAAATTAGATGTAATTCCGTCATTATATAATTATGTCGGAGATTTATACAATTTCTCCTTTTAGATTTTTTTTTAGATTTGACCATTTGATGCATGCATGTGTTGGTCACATGAATATGAGGATGTACAACAGCAATATTCTTCTAATGAATATTTATTTTTTTTTTATTTTTTTATTTTTTTTTTTTACAAATTAAAAATGAATTCTGTTGATCATTAATGCTAATTCTTCCACAATATTGTATAAGAAATATTGTCGATACGAAATGCTTTGTCATTTATGTATATTATCTATTTTTTATTCGAATATTAGCGATACCGACTGTTGAAAATCAATTTTAATTCGAAGTGCAACTTTTTGATTCCTGGCTACAATTACACTTGTAATAAAAACAGGAAATTTAAACATATAATTAATTCACGTGTCCTGCGGAAAAATTAAATAAGCTTTTGATAAAGGAAAGTCATCTGATTTCCAAAATACTATTTTTAGATTAATTATATAAAAAAATTGCATAACCGAATATATTATATAACTTTTATATTAAGTTAATATGCTATAAAATTTAAGTTAAAATGGATAATCAAGATCACACCCCGTATTCCCCATATTATATGTTGTACAACTACGACGTATTTGTCCGAACGACATGGAAATATAATTGTTAAAGAAATAAATATATGCAATTAAAGTTAAAAGCAACTCGATAAAAACGAGATTTTGTAAGTTTTTTGGAAATTATTTTCCGCTTTGTAATAAATGTAAGTTCTTCTTATCTCATAAAAATGGATCGAATCAATTAACCTTTTTAATGTTCCTTAATCATTCAAAAACTCGATAATCCTTTTTTAAGACAATTGCTTTTATTTCGATTGTTCAAAAATAAGTGTTTATTTATCCAAGGCTTTGATAATAAAGTTGATTTATAATTCAAATTGTCGAACAAGAACTTAGTAAAAGACTTGATTTATTTATAATATTTATATTATAAAAGAAAAAAGGAAACAAATCAATTCCCATAAAAACAAATCTGTTGGGGTACATTTTTATTGAAAGAGATATATATATATAAAAAACCCCCCTTACCGGGATAAAAGTACACGTGAAACGTTACCAAAATTTTTGTTCAAGAAAATTTTGATGTAATCGAACGATAATCTTATTTATACAAATATTTTTATTAATGTAACACCGGAGTTCAATGCTTTATTATTGTTCAAAGAGACATTGTTTTTAAAATATATAAAATTAAACTTTTTTCCCGCATTAGCAACAAGTTTTGAAACCTGTCTTGAAAAAGCTTTCTAATCAAACCTTCTACTACCGAAGCAACCGATTAAAATGATATGAAATAATTTCAAATCATGCAAGTCGCAATCAAGATTAGCGTGTTACAAATGTTTGAATTTTTTTTTTAGTAATGAAAACAAAATTTCCTCAGTTAAAAATGATTTGGTGAATGAAAAAGAACGAAAGAATTATAATCAAAAATACAAAAATAAAAAAATTTTTTCTTTTTATTTTATTACAGTTTAAAAATGAGATGATCAATATGATGAGTTGTTTAATAAATTTTTGAGACAAATAAAAGATTTTAGTGGATACACGACTAAATATATAATGAAACCCTAATTTACATTGGAATTTTTAATTTATAAAGTATTACATATTTTTAATTTAAACATATCGAATTTCTGATGCAAAGTGATTTATAATATTTGTCGATAGGAGGAGAAAATAATCTGCACAGAATCTCATTTTTTCTTTTTTTAATTATACAAATGGGAACGTTCAATGAAACATTATGATCCCTAACCAAGATGAATATAGGGATAATTTGTAAGTTTATTTTTACTGCAGACGAATTGAATCCGAAAAATCAGTAAGTACACAAATAAATTTCTTACCTGTAAGTTATGCTTTTATTTTCATCTTATTTTTAGATAAATTACTAAAAAATATTCATTAAAAAGGGGGGAACCCATTAAAAAATTCGTCTATCAAAGGGTTGCCCGTAAATTGTCGAGAAAGACGTGCCATATGGCTGAGCATGATTTGATTATTAGGTGACGTTGGGTTGTTAGCAGGTGGCATGTTTTGGTTATGGACAAGGTTTGGATAATTTCGAACGCGCCTTAGGTTTCTCGCCCTAATTGCATTTTGATGTCTAGGCATTTTCTCTTCTCTTATTATTCCTACTGTTATCGTAGGCAAGGAATATGGAAATATAATTTTTCTAAGTATTGTGTGGGAAATTTATCATATACCATATAAAAAGATATAGTATATGATTATGGAGTTCCTTTTTTTGCTTGATTATATTTCTTGAGGAGAAGTAAAGAAAAAAGAGGTTTGATAACAAGGAAAGAAGTCCGATTATTTATTGAAATAAATTTATTAATACTAGCTCCGTTTGGAAAATATTAAATAATATATTGAATAGCCTGCTCAGAGATGTAAGAACTTTTCAATTTCTTATTGAATTAGGCTTAGCGAATTTCATTATACCTCTGCGTAAATTTTTAACCGCCACAAATACTGAACTTTATTTACTCCCACATCATTATTGACGACATTATCGAGAATTCATTGAAGATACTATGAAAAAACCTTTTAAAGAAATTTGGCTGCCCTCTTTGGTTAATAAAGTTTTCGCGCCATCATTTTTAAACAAATTAACTAACTATATTTAGTAATTGATCATTGATCAAGAAAAAAACTGGAATATTGATATAATTTTACGGTGTAATACTGCATTCTTTTATCGTGAGTCACTTTCTTCAAAAGTTGGGATTTATATTCCGGAATATTGTTAAAAAGTTCATTGCAAACGTTATCGATTATTCAATAAAATTTTCTTAAACGTAAACTCGTTTGATATTCCGATCGGATAGACGATGTACATCATTAAAAAAAATTAAAGTATTCCGAGCTATTGCCATTCAATCAACCAGTTTTAACTTATATAATATCCATAAGATTTCATATGAATTTGATATTATTAGATTATTAAATGAATAGATTATAAAAATCATAAATAATTTTTTTTTTTTTTTAGGCTCGAATTTTTAATTCGAGTAGGGATGGGATGGATTTATCATTTTTATAAGTTCCATTTAAGGATGAACTGCTATCTTACCCTGACAAAAAAGCTCGGGCACGTGGTTATATAAATAATCAGCCCCGCCTCACGCTCCCATGTTTCATTTTTACTATTATTTGGGAACGACTTTTTTAGGGCGTGAAATACTATTTGTCACTAGTTATTTGTCACGCCCTAATTGACTTTTTTGTCGGTGCTTGCTGGCGGAGTTGTGAACTGTTATTTAATCACTTTACGGATTATATGTTCCGTAATGTAATTTTTATAGACCATCCATTTATGGTTTTATTTTTATATAAATAAAAATTTTAGAGGTGCGATTGTTCAAACGTGGACAATAATTACTGAGCCGTTACTAAATCGATTTTCCAAATTCGATATTATGTCACAACATCGACAATTTTATATGGTAAAAGGTTAAATTTATCTAATTTTGCAACACTAATTTAATTTTATAAATATTTTGTTAATATTAAAATATTAATAATAAAATTATATTATAATTGCTAATTTAAAATGAGAATTACACTCAGTCGATTACTGAATGACTCAGATCCTACTCGGGGTTTATCGATCATTCTTATATTTAAATCATTATATTTTACGTCATGTTTGCCCTTTGCCATTGCATGCCAAGAATTAAATTAAAAAATAAGCTAAAGGAAAGGGTAAATTAAAAATTTATTTTTAGCATTTGGAATGTCTTTTCTCTGAGAGAGCCATTTTAAGTGTGATTTAGCACAAATGTTGATCGATGGATACGGATTTGAACAACAACACATTGCATCGTAAATGCAAAACGATCCGAAGATATTATCAAGTGAAAGACGAGGAATTTTTAATTAAATTAAAAAAATTTTTTTTTTCTTTTGGAAAAAATGAATTCATTATCAAGATAAAAATTTAATTTCTCTGAACTTTTTTTATTAATCTATATTATTTTCATTAAATTTATGTTTAATAAATAAAATTTTTATTTTTATATTTAATCTGTGGTTTATAGATCTTTTATTTATCTGAAGAATTACTTTAAGAAAGGGGTCATGAGAATGTCTTTTTTTTATAGTCGTGCATAGAACAAATCGGTTGATCGATGTTATAATACAGCATGAACGCAAATATTTTATTGTACCATTCTTACTATTCTTAGATAATATTGAAACGCCATGGAATGATTTTAAGGTTTCAAAAAATTAAAAACTACGACCGGGTAAAAAAAAATTTTTTTTTATACATAAATTTTTTTTTTAATTGTCAATAAATTTTACTCCGATTTATTATTTAAGTTAAAAAAAAAAATTAAAATAAATAAATAAATTTTTTTTATCTTATTTCTTTTTTTTATCGTTGTACCGTCATCGTACTTCAATATTTAGGGTTTCAAAAACGTTATAATTTTATCCCTGGTATTCGATATAAATATGTCGATACGGAAGAAAATTTGTCAAAAAAAAGTAAAAAAAAAAGAATTTAAAAAAAAATTTAAAAATTAAAAAATAAATAAAATAATTCATATATTTTATACACACAAAATGCGAACGCTTTCGAACCAAAAAGATCTATCCAATGATATTGCTCCTAATATTAATAACGGTAGAACGCTGCCTCGAAGAATAAGAAGTCGGCAAATTAGACGACAAAATGCAAATAGAGCAGTACATCTTAGAAACATTTATGATGCGTCCTTCATCAATCAAGACACTTTGAACAGGCTTTCAAATATTCCGATTCAGAGGACAAATGTTCAGTCGATAAATGAATTTTTCAACGGATTGCCATTTTAACTCGTTTAATTTACTCGGAAAATTATTTCGTGATTTCAGTTACTAATTAAGAAAATATTCTATTTCAATCATGTTTGTATTATTTTTAAAACGTTTTTTTTTTTAAGAAAAATTTTATAATTTAAATTTATGTAATAGATTAATTTGCGAGGAACTTCTATAACTTCTATGATAATGTTTTAAATTCTTTTGAAATTTATGTTTCAAATATCTATAGAATAAAAATTATAAGCATAATTTATAATGAAATTATCAGAAGAAATGGTTTTGTTGCTATATTCCCTATGAAAAAAGTTGAACAAGGCGCATACTTAAATTGTACAGTTATTTCAATTTTTCATGCAAAAATGATATGCATTATCAATACTTACAATTAGAAGGTTTGAAAGGAATCTTCGAAGCTTATCAAGAGTGATGAAAATCCAAATATTTATAAATATAAAATTTTATTTCGGTGGAGAAAAATTAATATTTTTTTTTAAATATGTTTGGATATTAAAGCAAAAAAATTTTATTCTCCGGAAAACGTGGCAAATACATGACCAACTTTGTACTCCAAAAAAACTTACGCCCAAACTGAACTTTGAAGTAAATTTGAAGTGAATGTCATTAAGTTACAATAAATAATTTTTCATTGGGCAAAAAAAAATATTTATTACTATTACTGTAAATAGATAAACAAATACAGACAAACCCCCTTTTTAAAAAAAAAAATTAAATTAACTTTAGTATAATACTATTTTTTTAATCATATCTAGCAAAAATAGATGTTTTTTTAAAAAGATCATTATTCTCCCTTCTAAGTCTGTAGAAAACTTTGAATTATTATTTCGTTATCACCTTCAAGGCCAAGCAGAATTTAGTTTTTTGTCTACAATCAAAATTCGAATGATCAACGCAATTACACACAATTTCTGTGACCACACGCCATTTTAGGCCATAAAATGTGAACGACTTCACAATTATTGGTAATTTTTTTTATTTTAATATAAGATCGGCAGATTTACCAAATTTAGCGTCGATCTCTCGACTTAAAAAAATGATCGCCGTCACATGAATTCGAAAACGGCAATAATAAAAAGGAAAAAATGAAGGCCACGGTCATGTCCGGTCATAACCGTGATTGATATCGGTGTATCAAAGGCCTTTACCGAACGTTGTATATCAGGTTTGAGTATTGCTTAACAAATTTGTTATTTAAACATATTTAAATCTTTCACTTCCATTAGTTTATTATTAATGTCTATATAAGTCGAAAAGAATTAATGAAATAAACATTTGTATAAATTTAGATCAATAAAATATTCAATTAATCGATAAAACGAATTGTACCTTGAATTGGTTACAACAAATTCGTAGCCACGTTAGTGGCTAAATCTTGCTGATCGACATTGCAAAGCACAATAACGATATTATCGTGTGATTTTATGATGTCGTCATTATGTCATCAGGAAAGTTTATTTATTTTTTAAATTACCATTCTCTTTTACCAGATATTTTTTATTTAATTTACATTCTTTTCTTCTCGTTTCTACCAGTTATTTTTTTTTTTGAACCACCTTTTAAGAAACCGCGAAAAAAGGTAAAATTTTTTGTTATCATTTTTTTATAAGCTTAATGATGATAACCTCTATTTTTAGGCGAGTTCTAATGAAAAACCTACAAAAGAGGACCTTAACAAGCTTATTAATAATAGTCATAGTAAAATACTGATTATTCAACATCAACATGGGTTCACGCATTAGAAAAGTTTTGATCAGATGTAAATATGCAAGGTGAACTGGGTATCATGCTCCTTCAGTTAGCAATTGTCTTCATGCTATAAATTGAAAAATCAACTCTTTCTAAACTGATAAACATTCTGGATAAAAAAAAAATATTACAAGCTATGGCAAGTTTTTAATGGCAAAGTAAAAAATCTAGCTAATCAAGACATTGCAGAACATACTGGTAGTTCAGGTTTCACTGAAGAAGAAATTTTACATATTATGAACCATCCAATCATGACAGATGAAAATCCATCTGGTTTATTATATCGGGTATGTTTTTTAATGCAATTTTATTAGTTTTTTGAGGTGTTGAGCATTTTAATTTGCAATATGATAGTTTTTTACAAAAAAATGATGGTTATAGAGAATTTGAAATAATTCTTTATAAATCAAAAATAAATCAATATAATGTTGACAAGGTGAAAAATTATTAATTCCTAAAGTATCGAAAATTATTAAAATGTATGAAAATTATTTTGCTAAGTGTTCAACTCAAAAGCAAGTTCAAACTTTTATTTAAAACCATGTAATATTAATAAAAGTAAGTATTAATATAATAATTTCAAATTATAATTTAAATTTTATTAAATTATACATTTTATTTATAGTTGAATTTAATAGACAATGGTATTATAAAGAACAAATCTCTCACTTAAATTATTTATGAAGCAAATTTCTACAAATACACGTATTAATTTGGATAATCGCAAAATTAGAAATCATTCAGGATAAAAAATTCTTGTTCAAATTTTAAAAAGATTAAATTTTTCTAATACTGAATATATGGCTAATTCAAATATAAATCTAAATATAGTTTGGCAAGATATAAGTGACTAGAAACTAAACTGCAATATAATAATGCCATAAAACTTGCTAAATATTTGGATTTAAAACATCAAATAATACTAAAGAAGGTATATTATTATTTTATTATTTATTAAATTTTAAAATATTAATTTACTATTATTATTACAATAAATAGAATCAATAATATTTTCGTCAAAACATCATTTTCAAATCATTTATTATATTTATCTAATCATTCTATATCGTTACAAGATAGACTTACATTAGCAAAATCATTGATTAATGGTAAATTATATATTACAGTTGAACCTCACTATAACAAACTTCTATATTCTAAATTTTTTATTATAGCAAATTATATGAGTATTCCTGAAATTTATTATTTAATATAATGAATTTTTATATTAAAACTTACTATTATGTATAACAAATTGAAGATCTTGACTAAGTATATTAAATGAGATTTTTGTTAACTAAAGATAAGCAACTTGATAATTGTAACTTAAGTTACAATTTGATTGTAACTCCTTGTAAATTTATTTTAATATAAAAATTCATAAATAGTTGTAACTCAAAGAGTTGCAACTTAAGTTGCAACTAGTTAAAAATTTTAAAAATAATTATAGGAACATCTTTAGCTCTAACAGTGAATAATAGTGTCTTATCATTAAATAATAATGTTTCACTAGTGAATAACAGTATTTCAGTGGTAAATGACATATCTAAGATCAAATTAGATTATTTAAATTATAAACATATAAGCGGAATATATAATTTTTTCAGATAGCAGGATCATCTTTATCATCTTTATTTGTATGAAAACTAGGTATAATAAAATTTTTTATTTTCGATAGAAGAGGTATGACCACTATGGTCACAGTGGAACAGTATATTTTCTTATAATAATAATAAGTCATAAAAGTCTGATTTGGTGTAACAATCTTGGAATGCAAATATCTCGACATCTATTACACCAATTTTGATGCAGATTGAACTACTGGATTCAGTAGGTTCTGATCTTTCCAATAAGTCATAATTCGCATATATCTGATTAGTAGATGTCGAGATATTATCCTTCAAAGTTCAGGCAAAATAAAATATATACTTTATATTATATTTTAGCCAATTAGATCGCCAAATATAATTGCGTGATCATGTGATACCGAGTCTAAGGGAGCAGTATCATGTGATCAAATTACACACAAATTGCTTATGGATACCATTAGCCACCTTTGATTTTTAATCTGAAACAGACTCAAATGAATCTGTTAGCTTTTTGTCAAGCTTTAAACTAGTTTGCTCTTTTACATAATTTCCTATCTAATCTACAGTTCTTTCAAGCCTTTTAAACTAAGAATTAAGTTTATCCACTTTTATTATTAATGCTATAATTTCTCCAATAAAAACACTGGATTTTTTATCAATTGCTAGAGACGCTCTTATATAATGATCGAGTTCTGATAACTTTATTAGCTCTTTTATCATGCCTTTCTCATACTTGCTATATGAGCTATTAGTTAATTGCCCTTGTTTACTTTTCATTATAGAGAAGTATTCTGTAACTAAATATTTATTATAAAAGAAATAAAATATATAATAATAACACTTCTTCTGTCGAAACTATAGGATATATAGAATACTCTTTTACTAGTAGCTTATTAAGGTAAGCTAGATATGTAAAATACATATTTATTTTGATACTTCTCTATGAGCTTGGCTCTTATAGCTCTTTTTTCTGCATCTTCTTACGTTATACCACTCTTGATCATATTATTATATGCTTGTTTTCGCTAATAGAAATATGGTAAAGTGATTACCCATCTAATAATATCTAGCACTTTGTATCAATAAGGCATAAGGCCTTCTTTGAAGACAGATAATACATGGTCTTTAGATTAAATACCTACATTTTTAGCATGAAATACTTCCTTTCCAAAAAGACAGTCCCAATATACTAAAGTCATAGGATTTGCCTTAGTGCTAGTGTTTCGCAAAAAATCTGATTCAATCTGAATCTGATCCAGATCCAACAGATCAGATCAAATCAGATTTATCAGATTCGAATCAGATTCAGATTCAGATTTTGATTTGATTTAATCCATCAGATCAAGACCAGATTTTGATTTTGATTTTGATTTGGATTTGATTCAATCTGACAGATTTGGATTTGGATTCAGATTCGATCTATTGGATTTGGATTTGGATTCAGATCCGATATGTTAGATTTGAAATAAAAAATGCTGCCCCAAAGTCTAACGTGGCATTTATTATTAAAAAAATTGATTTTTATTAATTTTTTATATTATAATGTCACATTGAAAGTCGGATGCAGCATTTATTATTAAAAAAATTAAATTTTAATAATAAAATGCTGCTCTAAAAGTCAGATGTAGCATTTATTAATAAAAAAATTAATTTTTATTAATTTTATATTAAAATGCCACCCCGAAAGTTAAACGCAGCATTTATTAATAAAAAAATTAATTTTTATTAATTTTTTATATAAAATGCTGCCCCAAAAGATGGATGTGGCATTTATTAATAAAATTTTTAATTTTTATTAATTTTTTATATTAAAATGCCACCCCAAAAGTCAGACGCGGCATTTATTAATTTTTATATTAAAATGCTGCTCTGAAAGTCAGACGTGACATTTATTATCAAAAAAATTAAATTTAATTTATTTTTTATATTAAAATACCACCCTGAAAGTTAGATGCAGCATTTATTAATAAAAAAATTTATTTTTATTAATTTTTTAGATAAAATGCTGCCCCAAAAGACGGATGCGACATTTATTAATAAAACAATTAATTTTTATTAATTTTTTATATTAAAATGCCACCCCAAAAGTTGGACGTTGCATTTATTAATAAAAAAATTGATTTTATTAATTTTTTATATAACAATGCCGCGTCTGACTTTTGGGGTGGCATTTATTATTAAATAAATTAATATTTAATTAAAAAATTCTACCCTGAAAGTCAGTTGCGGCATTTATTAATAAAACAATTAACTTTATTAATTTTTTATATTAAATGCTACTCCGAAAGTCGGACGTGGCATTTATTATTAAAAAAATTAATTTTTAATAATAAAATGCCGCCCTAAAAATCAAACGCGGCATTTATTAATAAAAAAATTAATTTTTATTAATTTTTTATATAAAAATGCAGCCCCAAAAGTCAGACGCAGCATTTAGTAATAAAAAAACTAATTTTTATTAAATTTTTATATAAAAATGCCACTTCAAAAGTCAGATGCAGCATTTATTATTAAAAAAATTGATTTTTAATAATAAAATGCCAATCCGAATATCAAAGGTGATTTTTTGTTAAAAAAACAAAATTGTTGTTTTTTTAACATTAAAACGCCGTTCTGAACATCAAAGGCAGATTTTTGTTAAAAAAACAACAAAATTGTTGTTTTTAATATTAAAATGCCATTCCGAATGTCAGAGGCGGGTTTTTGTTAAAAAATCAACAAAATTGTTATTTTTTTAATATTAAAATGCTGTTCTGAACAGCGAAGGTGAATTTTTGTTAAAAAATTTTTTTGATCTGTCAGATACGGATACAGATTCGGATTTATCAAATTTGGATACAGATTCAATTTCAGATTTTTCAGATTCTGATCGAATCAGATTTTGCCCAAATCCGATCTGATCCGATCTGTGCAGAATACTACTTAATGCATATTTATAAATCCTTAGCTTCTTTGTTTTATTAATAATAATCTATTTATTAGATCATCGAGCAGGAAACCTTCTAAAGTTAGCATATTTGTTTCTATAGCTATGTCATTCATACCCTTTTTACTAACTCCCTTATGCTTAGACTGTATAGACTTATCAGCTAAAACATAGTGATAAGATTTGGCCTGAATATAGTATGACTCTGTAATCACGTTATCTGAAGTTTTGTCCTTAAATTTACCAACAGTTTGATCTCCATTGAGATTAAAGAGATCAGGTCACTCATTCATATCTTTATAAATATTCTCAGTCTCAACATGATATATAAAGGAATCTGTGTTCATATAACTAAGATGGCTTTAATCTCCATATTTTTCCTTCACATATCCATACCAGAATTCATACATGTGAAACTTGCTAAGACTCAAGACATATCCTTTAACTATAATAGGCTTATTAAGGGTGATGTTAGCTTTTCCCATATGCGCTCATATAAGTGTATTTCCAAGTTGCCTAACATACTTAAATAAGAGCTTGCAAACCTTATTTAAGAAAGTCTTTTCATCTCGATTATTAATATTTAATATGAGTTTGACATTCTGATATTTGCGGACATTCTTCATAGTCTTGCTATATACTGATATATTTATAAATTTGAAGAAGATTTTCTCAAAAGTATTCTTTGATTTATTACGTTTCTCAGTATTAAAAATAATATATAGTTCGAGCCAGTTAGTCTGGTTGAAGTATAGGACTTCTGTTACCTCATTCGCAACTATTCTTAATTTCGCATAATATTGAAGTTCTTGATAGTAGATAATATAATTCTTTCGTGATCCAAGATGAGGAACTAATTTTTTCGTGGCAAAGAAGTATCAGCCATCTAATTATTCTACAAGTTTAGCATTATAAGTTCATATCCAATACATTTCTATAACAATTTTCTCTACAGTAGGAGGCAAATCTCTTAAATGGTCATGGGTTTTTAAGGGAAAGTGGGAATGAACCCCAAATATAGTTCACAATGTGAATTTGTTCAAGTTTTAAGTATAATATCCAACCATTTCTTTTGCATGTCTGGTTTGTTTTTTAGATATTTATGACTTACCTTTTATTGATAATTTCCAATAGGTAAGTATTAGCTCATAGAATAACCATAAAGATTAGTCATATTGATATATGAGATCCATGTGGTTGGTTAGGATAAATCGTAATCTTCTTCTATCTTAGGATTATTGGCTTTAAAATATCGTTAACAAGCTATGGATATGCCATCACGCTTAACTTTTTCAATAAAATCATGTATAACCATATTTGTGAATAATTCAATTTTAACTCCTATCATTTTAAGCATGCCATCCCAAGACAATGCTGGTATAGAGATATAGTGGCTAGGATCGAGCTCATAATATTCCATAGACATTTTTTGAAATACTATCCAAATATCTGCAAGGCTAAATATATCTGTTTTAAAATAGATATCATGATACTCACCTAGATTATTACATCCAAATGTTTTCCATACTTTTTGGGCATATTGATAGTCATCTTGTAAGATCTTACCTTAAATAGTACTATGAAATTTATGATATAGAAGGAGTTCTGTTTTCTTAAATCTATTTTGCAAATCAATATAATCATAAAAATAGACTCTCTTATGTAAAACTAAGGTTAATTGTTCATCTATATAGCCTAATTTTTTGAAATGCTGGCTTATTATTGAATGGTTAGCACCTAAATTTTTTGTAAGACTGGCCAAGCTACTATTCATGAACTGCATGCTATCAATATATTTAAGCTGATCTACCTTCATAGACTTATATCACTCAAATGTTTTAGCTATAACTTGGATATAAAGAGCATTAGTCGATTGCCTAACAGACTCACATATCAAGTGAGAGTCATAATCTCAGAAGTTATAGAAGTTAAGGAAGATGACTGGGATTGGGATCTTCCAATCCTGTATTTAGAGTTTAAGATTACAATCCCTATGAGCTGATTCACGAAACTTACCTATAATATGACAGTGATCCTAAATCTTATTAGAATTAGCTTTTTCACTAGCAATTGTCTTAGTCACATTATTAATAGTTGTTTCGATGCTATTATATTCTGCTAACTCTTTTTTAAAGCTTCTTAGTTTTTCTTTAAGATAGTTATTTTATTTTCTAAGCACTTGATTTCATCTGTATCTATATCAAACTTACTTTTGCAAATCTAACAGCTAATAGCATTAGCAAATTTTTTCTTGTCTTTTTCAGTTTCAATTTAATCATATTTGATGACTAGGACCTCATTGATTTTGACTAGCTCCTGATCGATTCTTTGAACAAATTTCTGCGTTCCATTTTCTCCCTATATTGCATACATCTCTAGTATTAATCCAGTAGACTAGATAGCAGAAACTATTAGCCTTCTATTCAGCAAGTTTTCGTATTTGTCCACATATTTTTCATCACATTTCTTGTTTTCAGCCTCAAAATCAGCTATAATTACACATGAGGCATTGATCATTCAGCCATAATTCTTGAATTCTTCAAAATCATTGACCCCCTTTACTGACATTGTGACTCTTTGAGGGGTTTCGTTTAATTCAAAACACTATTTCCAACGATGAACTAGGGATTTTTTTGAGAGAAAGCTTTAGATACATCAGTTAAATAGACACTTTTTACTATTATGCGTAATATACTTGGAAATTAATCGATTCGGATTTTGATTTAATGGAAGTGGTTCTTTTGTCTATACTTATCTACTTCAGATTGGGTTATATCTGTAAAAGCCATAAGATGAATTATATACATTCTTTCTTTATAACATTCATTCAGATTATTATGCTTACAATTTTCTATTTTACATGAATTTGGAATATAGAAATTCTTACTGATAATTACAGGCTTTGGAGTGGCTATTTCTTTTTTTCACTCTAGATATTAATAGATATTTCAGGATTTATCTCCTCAATTTTATTAAATATTCACGAACAAATTGGAGTAAGCATTGGAATTTCATCTAGTTTAATCACATCTAAATATGGCTTAAGATTCTTTATTCGAAAGATTCATTCAAGATGATCTCTTTTTCCATCCTGATATATGAAATATATACCTAATACTCCTTGAAGACATTTTTCAGATAGTTTATTTGTTTCAAATCAATTTGATCTTTATTATCAGGATTAATAGTTCATTTTGTATTTGTAAGTTTTTTGGGTACAGTCAACCCTTGATATAACGAATTTTATGTCCTGAACTTCAACTTCGCTATAGAGTTATAGTGAATTTTTTAAAGAATTTGATTGGCTAGTTCGTTATAACGAGGGTAAATTTAATATAGTTGTCCAAAAAATTCGTTATATAAAAATTCGCTATAGAGAGGTATGACTGTATAGGTTTGAATAAACCTTCTATTGTCTGACAGTATAGATATGCCTCAATAGATATTTCAAAAATTCTTTCAAAAACACATCCAGATCCACTTTGTTCTGTGTTTTCAATATGTTTATCAATTTTCCCAACAACGTTTGTTATATGTTCATCTATATCTCCTTCTTAAAGAATTGCTCGTATCCTTTCTCTATGATGTTTATTTATAATTGTTGGTAGTAATGGTGAACTATCTCTTGCTTTTTTAGTAATCGAATACTAGTATAATATCACTATAGCTGATTTTATTTAATCTTTTTTACAAAATTCTGTTTGAAGAATTTTTGTAATTTTCTATCATGCAAGCCCCATAAGTTAAGATATATATGGCAATTTTTTATATTCTTCTAGATTAGCTATTGGTTTGATAAAAGAATATGCAGGATTGACTTCAGGTTGGAAAATTTTTCCTACCCATTTGCTTATTAAAGACTGATTTTTATGTGATCTTTCTAGATCCCTTTCAACTGAGCATTTTTCAAAATAGATATCCTTCTAAACATCTTATCGTTCAATCTCACTAGATTCTTCCTCTCTGTAAGCTTAGCTTGCTGGGTCTGGTCCAGCTTCAGGATCCTCCTGATAGTATTGTTGCACAACCTCACTAGGATCAGTCTCAGGAACTGGAGTTTAGATAACTAATTGTAGATCTTGAATTAGGTTAACTACTCTTGACTTCTCCTTTCTTTAATTTCTTCCTCGAACATGATCAATTAGAGTTAAAGATGGTAATTGAAGTCTGGATATACTCCTTTTAGTATTATTTTCTAAAGGTAAACTACATTAATTTTTATTACTTTTATAATGCTGGTGAAGTTTTGTGATATAGAGAAGGTCTTTTTATAACTGATATATTCACGATTTTTTTATCACTTCTTGCCATAATACTAATGTAAACTTTTTCTTAATTTAAATTATTTAATCTTATGACCCCTAATGTTTAATTACTTTTTTATATTTTCGAATTTATGAGAAAAATATGGCTAAGAAGCGCATGCCCTGCTCTGTTTGTAGTAAACCTTCAAAGATAGTTAAGCCTATAAGAATTGATAATAGCCTATTTAGCTATTGTAATAAGAGCAATTATCAGATTCATCATGTAAATAGGCTTTAGAATAAGGTTCAGATGTTTGATCAATATAGTGAAGAGATTAGTTTACAAGGTTAGACTTAGCATATATATATATATCTGGTGAGTTAGACTTATTTTTGCGATTAGACTTAGCATATATCTGATGGTTAAACATATTTTTGCGGTTAGATTTAGCATATATCTGACGGGTATACTTATTTTGTGGTTAGATTTAATATATAGGTAATCGAAAAGTATAATTTTTTTGTCTTAGGATTGTATAAATAATATAACTTTAGAATGGTTTCCTATATATTGATAAATTGTTAACATGCTAGAACATAATCATTAAGCTTTTGATTTACAAACTAGATAACAGCTAAATCTAACCTCGAAGAGGTTATACTTATCTTATGGTATGCATTTTAGGCTTGCATGATTAGGCCCAGCTCCAATCGTTTTACTTTATTCCTTAATTTTTGATAGCTCCTCTAAAAGTAAGCAGAATAGCATAAAAGTTATTATTCATATTGGGTTTGCAATGTTAGGCCCAGCTCAAATTGTGTTACTTTATTTCTTAATTTTCAATAATCCCTCCTGAGGCAAACAAAATAGTAAATTTTTTTGATATATTATTTGGGTTTAAAATCAGGCTAAAATAGCTATATTAAACAGTATAATTCTTGATATCTGAAGGCTAATTCCTAGCCAAGATCGATATCATCATCTATATTTGAGTTAAATTATGCTAGAAGCTTAAACTCAATAATTTGATTTATAGAGCTAACACTAGTTGAAATCATTTCTTTCGGCAAATATTCAGCTAATTCAATCATTTGATTTAGAAAAAATTCGGCTTAAGTTACAAAAATCAATAGTAATTTGTTATATCACATATAATTTAACATTATTTTAGTATTAAGACTTTTCGGTTATAATAATCAGCAAAATTTCAGTTAGAATCAAGATTTGGTAACAAATCACTATATCTCACTAATCAAAATTTTTTGAGCTGATTTTTGTGAAAATTATAAAACCATTCTGAGAGTAATCGTCCCAAAGAGAAGATACATTCGTTCCCAAAAGAGATGATAGAAATTGTCTTAAAAGGAACGAACAATCATTCCAAAGAGATGATAAAAATCGTCCCTAAAGGAACGATACATTCATTCTAAAAGAGATGATAGAAATTGTCTCAAAAGGAACGATACATTCGTTTCCAAAAGAGACAATAGAAATCATCTCAAAAGGAACAAACATTCGTTCCAAAAGAGATGATTGAAATTGTTTCTAAAGGAACGATACATCATCGTTCTGAAAGAATAATTTTTTTTATTATTCTTTTGGAATGAAACTTCATCATTCCGAAAGAACAATACTTCATCATTCCAAAAGAACAATACTTCATCATTCTGAAAGAATGATACTTCATCATTCTGAAAGAATGATACTTCATCATTCTGAAAGAATGATACTTCATCATTCTGAAAGAATGATACT